CATTAGTGTATCGTTCTTAAGTATCAGTATTACGACTGTTCGTATTATCATTCGTATTATTATGGTTCGTATTATTCTTCTTGTTAATATTATGTTCCTGCTAGTCGTACTCTAGGCGCGCAGCCCGAGCTCGACATCTGCGTGCTCAGCGCGGCCGCCGCGGCGGGGCAGCTGGCGACTCAGCTACTGGCCGCGCCAGGGGTGCTCGCCGCGACTGGCGGCGGCATGGGCGGCGCGGTGTTGCGGGAGTTCGGCTCCGGCGCGCAGGCGTTGGCGGGGCGGGCGCAGCCCGCCGCGCCGTGGTTGGCGCTGGTGTTCAGCACCGCTTAACGACTTGGCATCGCTCGGACGTGTGCGTTTTTTGCCGGCGAGGGACATCGAGGAGTATCCTGGATTATCAGGCGAACAAAAAAACACGCGCACGACAGCGAAACATGCACGGGGGGTGGACGTCCGAGCGACGTCAAGTTGACAAAAAGGCAAGAGTTGCATAAACACAATTTTGTTGCGCTCCGCGCAGATGTCTTGGATCGGCGCTGGAGCTCCGTGGCGGCGCCTGCGGCCCTGGCGCGCTCCGCGCGCCAGGATGGGTGTCCGGCGCAGATCCAAGAAATCTGGACCTCCGAAAGTTGGGGGACCATTGGGGACCCCATTGGGGGACCCCGCCTTGAACAAATCAAGAGATCGGATCGGCGAGGAAGGCTCTCAGAGCGCTCTGAAGCGGACGCGGTGCCCCGTGCACCCACCAGGCCCGCCGGCTTTCTGAGGCTCTCAATCGGTCCCGGAGTATCCTATCTCGTTCTCCTGGCTTTGTCATGTTCAGTATCGTCCAAAATGTCACCATCACCATTTGGACATGGTATCTCAGCCCCCCCATCCCACCACCCCAATTGGGGATAAGCCCCTCGAAACCCTACGGCAACAGCCTACATCTCCCCATCTAGGAGGGTAAATCGCCCAGTGGAGCTCAGGCCACGCCAGTGGGGATAGGGATCGGTTAAAGGATGCTCAGGTGTACTGGGGCTGCAACGTGGGCTTCAGCCTCTCGGCGCTCGGGAAGGAAAACCCGCACATGCGGCATGACTACCGTTCGGAGCTCCGTGCGGATTTTTCTTGGGTCGGCGCTGGACCCCCTGGCGGCGCTTCCAGCGCTGCCCTCGGCGCGCTCCGCGCGCCAGGGTGAAGGGCCCCAGCGCCCATCCAAGAAATCCGCGCGGACCTCCTAAAGCTCATGTCGGTGTTGCTAGAAGTGGTCCTGGCCCCCGGTGCTCCCAGCTTTTCGCGCCATCTTAAAACCTCTTGGGCCCTCTGGGCCTCGTGAGGGGTGCAGCGGAAGCCATCTGCGCCTCCCTGGGAAAGCTGGGTGCACCGTGGACCAGGGCCACTTCTGGTTTGCAACGCCCGAACATATCCTTCCAGAGCTCCGCGCGGATCTCTTGGATCTCAGCGCCTGGCAGCGCATCCAGCGCCGCCCCTGGCGCGCGGAGCGCGCCAGGGAGAGGGCCCACAGCGCATCAGAGAAATCCGCGATGAGCTCCAAAAGATTACGCTTGCGGGGCGCAAGCAGGGACGGAGACCGCAATTCCCCTGACCTCTCCAGGGGCGCGCTCTGACCAGAATTCCGAGGCGAATCCAGCCATGGCGACGAGGGAGGGGCAGCGGTCGCTCCAGGGGTGCGTTCTGGCCAGAACGTCGAGGCGCACCCAGCCGCGGCGACGAGGGGAGGGCAGCGGTACCGGTACCTGTTCCTTTTCTGATATGTGTGCCGGTGGCGTGCAGATTTTTCCAGGCGCTCCAGCTGGTGCGCACCACCTCCGCGGCCACGGTGGTGCTCGCCAACGTGGTGGCGCTGCCGCTCAGTGCGCTGGCCTTCTGTCTGCCACTGCCGCTCTTGGGCCGCGCGGGCTTCGACCACTGGATGCTGGTCAGTCTCGCGATCATCGTGACGGGGAACCTCCTCTACGGGCACAAGGTCACAGGAGGAAACGATGCCGATACCGCCACTGCGGGGGCGTGCGTCAAGGAATTCGCCCAGGAGGCTTCGGGCATTAGAGGAGTCCTTGTCTGACAAGGGCGGCGGCGATTCCCATGGCCAGACCTCAATTGGTTTTCCACTGGATTCTGGACCCTGGGTTCCTTATCTAAGGGTTCTTTTTCCACTGTCCTCCCGTAGCTTGTCCTCGTCACCATGGTTGGATTCGCCCCGAAATTCTGGTCAGAACGCACCCCTGGAGAGGCATGGGGAGTAGCGGTATCGGATCAGAGGAGGGCGAGTTGAGACATCGGCAGGTGGCCGTCGGGAGAGGCTCTCATGGCCACGGCTGGGCGCAGCTCGCCAAACTGGTGCACTTGGACCCAGGAAGGTGTTCTTGGGATCGATCCTGAGCTGCCGCTGTCTCAACTCGGCTTGCTCCGACAAGGGTCTCCGCTCGTGGGGTCGCTGATGGAAAATTGTCCGCGTCGCATCTGCGCCGCGTTTCTCCGCACGCACTTCTGCTACCCTCCTCCTCCTCCTCCTCCTCTTCCTCCTCCTTCTACGTCACCTGTAGCGTTTGTAGAACCCGATATATTTCTCCTCCTCCTCCCCCTCCTCCTCCTCCTCCTCCTCCTCCTCCTCCTCAGTCTCCTCTGCCCAATTCTCCTGCGAGGACGATGAGGGTGAGGGAAGAGGGAGGACGACACGGGAGAGAGGGGGAGAGAGAGAGAGAGATATATTGAGAGAGAGGGAGAAACAACAAAAGAGAGAAAGAGAGAGAGAGAGAGGACGGCGAGAATGTGGAGACGGAGCGGCAGCAGGAAGAGGAGGAGGAGAAGGTGCAGGAGGAGTTGGAGGGAGAGGTATCAGAATTGATTGCGGTCGGAAGCCGATGCTAAATAGGCGTCCGGAGGCCTTCGTGCTTGGATTATACGCGCCGCCCGTCCGCAACATCGTTGGAGGCAAGGGAGCCCTTGGCAGCTTTTGGTGCAGGGTGCAGGCGATGCGTCAGACGTTCCGCAGACGAGCAAGATCGACCGCTGCCAGGGGGTGTGCCGTACATAGGTTGCGCCATAGGTTGGACGCTGGCAACCAAATCGTCCGTTGCATTGCCTCGGTGGGTGTGCCATCTGATGCGCCAGATCCCCCGCGGGCAGCCAAGTTGTCCGTCGCCTCACGTAACGGGTGTGCCGTTGGTCTGCGGGCGACAAAAACGTCCGTTACCTCAGTGGGTATCTCAGCTTGCGCCATGTGCGGGAAAACAAATCGTCCGTTGCCTCAGTGGATATGCCGCAGGTTGCGCTCGCGGGCAACCAGAGCATCCGTAGCCTTCGTGGGTGTGCGCTCGGCTGGCGGACACCCCGCGGACACCCCGCGGGCCACCACGTCGTCCGTCGTCTGATGCGGTGGGTGCAGCACCGTTGCGTCCAAGCATGCGCTCGACCCACTGCCCGGCACACCCTGCGCACGAGCCTCTGCGGTTTTTTCCTCCGCGCTTGCGGCGCGGCCGCCGTCCGAGGGGCGGCGGCGGGGATGTTCGAGCCCGCCAGCGGAACACGGCCCGCTGCCAGGAAGGGTGGAAGCTCCGGACGGCCCCCTGGGGGCCAGCAGGCCAGCCCATTCCGCGGATGGCATTCGACGGTTGGGGGAGGAGGAGGAGGAGGAGGAGGAGGAGGAGGAGGAGGAGAAGGAGGAGGAGGAGGAGGCTAGCGAAAAGAAACAGGAGAAGGAACACGAACACGACGATAATGATAATAAGAAGACAAACAATAACCATTAAGGACCATATGAATACTATCAACACCAATGATACGAGTATTATTACAAAGCAGATGAGGAATATTAAACATAGTAGCTCTACTCGTATCTTCAAGAATAAGGATGATGATAATACGATGAATCATATTAACAATAAGAAGCATAATAACCACAAGAAGACGAAGAAGAAAACGTGCTCAGCCTGCTCGTGTTTTCGGCAGCGGTCGGAGGGGGTCGGCGCGCGTTTGCGCGCAGGCGCCGGGATTTGTCTTCGTTTGCAGGAGGAAGAGGATGAGGAGGAGGAGGAGGAGGAGGAAGAGGAGGAGGACAAGGAGGAGAAGAGCAGCACCAGCTGAAAGGGAACCACCCAACGCACATGCACCAGCAAGACTCAACGAGTCACAGCCTCCCCGCCCGAGCCCTTCCCCACAAGTCCCAACGCGATTTCGTTCTCACTGCGCGAGGCGCCTCCTTGAAAGACGACCGCCCCGTGGGCCGCAATTCCGTCGGGGGGCTCCGTTTTGTGAGGAGCCGCCCTCCGTCGTGCGAACTACCACAGAGGTGAGCGGGTGACGCCATAACTTTCGCAATGCCCCAGAGGGTGCCAGGCGGAAGCCCCGCTCTGGCACGAAGCCGCCCTCGCCCCGCGCAGCTGGTGCACAACACTCTGCATCAACAGTGCTGGAAGTCATGGCGTTCGAGGAGGCACCCGTCGAGGGCGCCATCCGCACAACTGCTGGGGATTTGCGAGGCGAGGGCGCGCGGCGCTGAGGCGGGAGCCTCGTTTCGAAAACGGCCCGCCTTCCACCCGCGTAGCTGCTGGAAGCGTCAGGCTTCAGCACTGCAAGCGACGGGGAAGTCTAAGGCGAAACGCCTAGCCCGCCCTAGCGACACATTTGATAGTGCGACAGGTAGAAGGTATGCATAAGAGATTACAGACATGGAGGAAAAGGAGGAGGAGGAGGAGGAGGAGGGCGACGACGACGAGAAGAGAGGAGGGGGAAAAACGGCGGAGGGGCAGGGGGGGGTGAAAGAGGGGCAGGGTTGCCAGGAGAGGGGAAATCGTCAGTGTTGCTCTTGCCCTGGATCTTGACCCGGTGGCGTCCAGAGACGGAACAAAAACAGACACACCCCAAGAGCCAATCGAAAACGTATGTATTTGTTTGAATGAGCTCCTCCGTCGATCCTCGAGGGCCCTGGGGCAAACGGTAGCAGGAGACGGGAGGAGGGAGCTCCCCCCTCCCCCCGTCGACTCCATGAAGCGCACATCGACGCCGATGAGGATTGCGACGACGACGACGACGATGATGACGCCGACGACTCCGACGACTGCATCGCCAAGACCCCATTACCTTTTCGCCGCAGCGGCTTCAGAGAACGCGTCCGCCCGCAAGCGCGCGGAGACGCAGCCTGTCCGCCCGCTGGCGCGCGGGGCCGCCCAGGGGTTTTGGGAAACTGTCGTGGCGACCGACAGCGCTGCCTTCGCCTCCTCGCTTGTCCTCTCGTCCTTTTCCTGCTGGTCCCCGTCCTCCTCCTGGTCGTCCTGCTCCTGCCCCCCCTCCTGGCCCCCTCCTCGTCCTTCTCCTCCTCCTCCTCCTCCTCCTCCTCCTCCTCCTCCTCCTCCTTCTCCTCTTCCTCCTTCCGTAGCCGTTTTGGCTCACTACGCATTGTTCCTCAGGGGAAAACGTGGATACCGCTAGTCCGCGGCACGCAAGGCTGTTAAGCCTGGCAAGTCTCGCATCGCTCCCCAGCTCAGTGCCTCTGCTCCTCGCATGGCCGACGGCGTGACCAACGGACGGAAGAAGAAGAAGAAGAAACAGAAGAAGAAGAAGGGCGGCGAGAACGGCGTGCGTGCTCGTGGGGTTTCTGGTGTTGCTCGGCCTGCTCGTGGCGAAGGCGAACCCAGTCCTGGACGGAGCCAACGAGATCGTAGTCGCAGCGGGCGCGGCTCGGACTTTGAGCGGATGGACGACGATGGGTGGAAGGGACACATCAACGGGCCCATCGAGGTGGCCCTCATGGAGAAGTTCTCTGCGTGCAGAGAGGAGTTCAATACTATGGTGGTCCAGACCTCCAAGGAGGCCGCGAGTGATAATGCAGCGTTTGCGTTGGAGACGCTCAAGTCGGTGGTGGCCGCCGTGCGGAATCTGTCTGTTCAACGTAAAAAGACAGCCGAGAAGACGAACTTCATGTCTCAGTTGGGTGATTTTGAACGGCGACTTCAACGACAATCGACACCCATAATTCGCGCATCAACGGTTTTGGCGGACGCACTATGCGGCTTGCTTCCGCCATGGGCGACATGCGGCGGGAGATGGACGAGATGCGCCGCGAGCTCGCGATGGCCAGTCGTGCGCCGCCCCCGACGGAGCCGAGCTCTGCTGGCTTTCAACGTCAAGTGAATGGCACCATCCTTCAGGTGATCGCCCCAAGTATGGTACGATTGGCAGACGTTGTCGGCCCGATCGAGAAATTGTTCAAGGACAACACCGAAGACGTCGAGACCAAGGGAGAGCCCCAGGACAAGCTCGTCACCGTCAGTTCACTGGCGCTGATGGGCTTGCTGGGAAGCAAGTGGCCCAGGATCTGTCAGCTCTTCATCTTCCTGGCACAGGGCAGAGGATGCGCTTCCGTGAGCTTGCTGCTTCGGGTGGCTCGACCCAGCTCCACGTCGGTCTGGACAAGTCGCCGTGCCAGGGCAAGCTGGAGACTGCGGGCAAGGAAGAAGGCCCTCGGTGCATTACGGGAAGCACCCCCTGAAAGGCAACTTTTATCCGACAGGCAGAAAGGTTGGGCCGCGGAGAACTGGGGCCACATCCTCCGCCCGGAGGCGCAAGCTGGTCGCGAGCCTACTCTATGCTACTGGCACGACGCTGCTCTCGTCCAACGTGGATGGTCCCGCGCGCAGCTCCTCGCCATCGCCCAGCCCATCCCAGTGCCCAGCGAAGCACCAGAAGGGGTCGCTTTAGCGTCTGCGATGACCTCTTCCCGCGCGTCCGACTGCGGGGAAGACATGAGGCCCGCAACCATCTCCCCGGCCACCTGGAATGCGCGATCCCTACTTCGGTGGAGCGGACAGCAGGCCATGGAGAAGGCGGACTCTGCGCATCGGTATTCGCTCTCCAAGAGGCCCATCTTAGTCAAAGGGAACTGGTGACATTCACGAGGCGGGTCGCCCCAGATTTCGCATCTCTGGCTCGTTTGAAGACGTCCGCGAAGGACATGGCCGAGGTGGTGTTGCTACGCTCGCTCCTTTGGCGAGCCCAGTTGCCGCGGCTGCTTCTTCGCCCCCAATTGCGCTGGGTAGAGAGCCCGGGGCAGTTTTGGCAGGCAGCGTGGCTGCGATTTCGATGTGCACAACGATGGGGTGGCGGCAGATCACGCGCGACCGGCGCGCGCATATCTGCGTCGACATATCGCATTGGCTGGGCCAGATCCACGCAGGCGGTCGGCAGCGGCGCGCGGCGATTTCAATTTCGCGGCCGCTGCCCCTCTGAACCTGGCAAACCCTGAACAGATGAGGGGGTTTAACCAACCAACACCGCTCGCGTGCACGTGCATCTCTGGTCGAGCACCCTTGGCCACGCGCTGGGAATCACCCCTGAGGACCCCGCGCGCTTCCGCGCGGACTCCAACGCTGCTCGCATTTCATCGACTGCGGGTATCTGGGCCGAGCTGGGTGTCTTGCCAGCTCTCTCATTCGGCGCGCGTCACTGACTCTCCTGAAGAGCTACCGGACCGCGCCCTTTCTGACCGCGCGGCGGCGC